TTAAGAGTCTGGACAACAACTCCCGTTCCCCTCTCAAGTCAGGGGACAGTTATCCACTGATTAAAGCTAATTGTGTCCGAAATTGCGACAAATGTGTCAAACAGTTTGAGGCCAATAGTGAATGGCTTATGGCGGCTGAAAACCAATACCGGCCCCCAATGGTTGTCCACTTAAGGCGGACATGGAGTCTGTTGGCAGCCGTGGTGTCAGCCCTGGGTGTGGTATCGGTGCTCATTTGTGTCATATATTTTTTGCTGGTATTCCCGGTAGCCGTGGGTACGACTGTATTGGGCTATCAGATACTGTTCGGCCTATTCATGGCTTATACGACAAACTTTGTGTTTCTCATACCTGTGTCCACATCCGTGTGCGCTCTCCGGCGGTTAGGTATGTCTTATGGAAAACTTAAATCTACTTGCTTATTGTAAGTTATAACTAGTTATAACTTATAATTAGCCAATTTATATTTACTTAAAATTTATTTAATATTATACTAATTATTTGTCTGTCTGTCCCGTACTCGTAGGTCTGTCCCTCTCGTACGCCATAATAATTAGCGGCCTATTAGTGAAAGTGTTAAACACGTGGCGACTAATGGTCATCAAAAACCAATCACAACCCCTACGGCTGTCCTCCCCTACGGCACTGGTGTTCATATCGGGGGGACTGGTATTCCTGCAGCTCATACTCACCACAATATGGCTGTTCAGTTACGCCCCACACCCGGGCCTATACGACGGCCTCTGGAAGTGTTCGCCAAACAAGTCGTTTGTTTTGTGGGACTCAGAGATAATTGTCTCACTTTTATATGTCATTCAATTACTACTCATTACCCTATTCTTCGCCGCCCTTACCTTCAAGTGCTACGACCAGAACCGGGAGCCCAGGTTTATCATGGCCTGTGCCCTGTGCACCATTGCTGTCTGGGTCACCTGGCTCATTGTCGAGTGTGAGTACTGGTTTTGTTTTAGTTGCATGGATAATTTTTAATTATTTATAAATTTAGTAATAATAATGTTAATTCATTTAATAATACTTTATATATTAAAATTGTTAATAAACTGTAAATTAATTATATTTCTCTTTATATATTATATGAAACATTATGTTTCAAAATTATTGGAGCACACCGGGACATGAATTATTTTAAATATTTTTATTTTGTATTGTTTTCTAGCGGGCAATGCCGACCCCTCCCTGTCCATAGTCTGTGCCAATTCAGTGAACGCCTCACTCGTCATGTCTTTACTATATTTCCGGAAATTATATTTATTTTCCAAAATCTCGCGTAAAATCCGAAGAGAGAGACAA